CCCCCCCACACTTTTTGCACTCAAGGATTCTCGAGCTTTCTCTTTTTTTCCGGCAATAAAGCATCCAGCGATTTTGGCATGCACATCCTTTCGGTTATTTCTTCGGTGCTCTCAGAACTTTCTTACTCCAGTCAATATGTGTAAGTTTCTCCTTAACCTCTATTTCTGAAAGATTTTTCTGCCCATTCTCTGGGTTTTTGATTTTGGAATTCTATGCATGTTCTTCGTGTTCTTGAGGGTCTTCGAAGGATTCTGGGCATATTAGTGTTAAATCTTAAAATGTGCATTTTCCGATTCAAGATTATGTTTATGAGGAAGTCGACTTTGCGAGGCGTAGTCAACTTTATCTTCTTCGCACGTCGACCTTTGTCGATCTTGGTATTTCCTGTTCTTTCTTTGCTACCGACCCTCGTCTTCTGACGAGTTCGTGTTGGGCTCGGGCCTTTTTCTTTTTCACCATCCTTCTGGCCCAATCGATTTCCCCTAAGGTCGACTTTATGGCTAGAAGCCTTCATAGACCAACACACTCTATCGCCTTCTTTCACTTTTATGTTGATCTTTGTTTCTCGACTCTTTCTCATAGATTCTGGGTCCGACTCCGTTTCTGGCTCTATTTCTGGCTCCCTCGTCCGTCAAATAGAGGAATCCTCAAACTCCGATTCTGTCGAAATAATTGGCTCTAAGCCTGTAGTCGAGCAAGAGAGGTCGCAGGGTTCATCCACCTCGATTTTTGGAATAGACCGCGATGTATATACCCAAGCACTTTTGTCGGGTGACTTGATGCAAAATAAAGACGATCTTAATCGAGGTAGCGACTCTCCCCGACTAAACCTCCTTCCCCAAGGTATTCCCCTTAGGCTTTTAGATATTCCTGTATATAGGACGAGCCCTATTTCTTTGTCAATAACGTTCTCCTTTCTTAAGTCTCGAGATGTAACCATAGCTTGTCCTTTAGCCAAGTTAGCTGTTCTAAATCCATTTTCTTATGCCTCTGCAGCCCAAATCGAGGGATTTAGGTCGTTCAGCCCTGGCCCCAATGATGTTTTCACTCACCCCCCTAAGGGTCGCTTTACTTTCTTCGTCGACCAAATAATGTTCGGCTTGCGGTTCCCTATTCAACACGAGCTTTTATCGATTAGCAACATGTACAATGTACCCATAAATCAATTTTCTCCTAACGCCATTCGCATTATGGTAGCCTTCATCATAATTTGTAAAATAAAGTTTGGCCACTTCTTGCCCGAGTTTCTCTTGTATTGTTATAGTTATCGCTTCATAAAGAACGCCCATTGTCTGGGTCGTCGTCCCGGTGTTTCCTTCCTCGAGGACCTTTCCTCAAATGTAACCGAGTGGAAGACCAAGTTCTTTTACATCCGTCCTGCTCCCGGTCAGTACCCTTACTCCAACATCTGGCTTACTTCTAAGGTCAATCAAAACAATCCTCGTCCTAGGTCGAGCCAGTTTCAGAATATGCTGGACGACCTAAATAAGTTCACGTGGATTGCCCGCTTTTTGGTTAAAGATCGTTGTCTTCTTAATCATGTGGGTTGGTGGAAGGACGAGGACGCCCCTCGCGTCGATGATCCTCGTAAGCCCATGTGTTTGTCTGTTTCTATGCTTATCTTCTTTTGTTCGTAAATTACTCGCGTTTAGAATCATTAGTGGTGTTTCTTATTTACTTATTCCCTCGTCTTTCAGTTAAAGCTTTGCAACGCTTCGAGACTAAGAAGACGAAAGGCGGTGAAAATTCTGCCAAGCCAGTCGTTCCCTCAGCGAGAGCCGACGACGGATCTGGCTCTAGAGTGAAAAAGGCGGTGGTCGAGGCGACCGTCGCTATAAAATCGAAAATGGTCATCCCCTCCTCACTGCCGCAGAAGAACCTGGGTTCTAGGACCAAGAAAAGGGGACCAGACAAAGTCGACCCCAAGCAGAGGGCCGACTCGTCCAAGCGCCTCAAGAGTCAAGACAAGGGGAAAGCGGCCGAAGCTCCCCGTTCTCCTGGCGCCCTCGAGACAGTCACACTCGAGAGGCCCTGCCAACTCTAGAACCATCCCCATCCACATGAGATTGCCAAATACTTTAATTCGGTCATCCCTGCCGTTGACAAGGCTCGCGCCGACCGTGATCCTTGTGATCGTGCTGGTCGGGCCCTACTGTGCTTCTCTCGGGTAATTATTCTCAACCCCTACTTTAGTCGGCTTATCTTTACACACACTTTTGCCTTAATTTTGACGTCTTGGTTCTCTTCCTTTTCAGTTTATGGCATACATAATGCCAACTCTCCTCGAGGAATCAAGCTCGCCCAACTCCAACGTCCATGCTTATAAGAAGAAGTGTGAGGAGCAGCTCCTTGAGCTTGAAAAGAAGGACGACGACCCCGCGGCAGCCAATGCTCGATCGCGAAGCTTAAGGCCGACAAGGCTGCCGCCCTCTCCAAGGTCGACTGATTGCGGGCCGACCTTGTTAAGGCCACTGAGGATAATGTGGCTGAGAGGGAGATCGGGAGGGAGGAGGGACGTAAATCCTTCCTCAAGTCACCGATGGGTTCCGTCTTCCTCGACGCCTATCGAAAGGAAGTTGTAGGAGCATTCTGCAATTCCCCCGACTTCCTTGAGAAACTGTGCCCTGTGACCCTTTAGTACTTCAACTTCACATTCGACGCGTGGGAGTCGGCCACGAAGGGCACTACTCTAGAGGGCAAGGTCGATCGTCAGGCACTGAAAGAGTTCCTTCCTCTTCCGGCCGGCTATCACGGTGATACGTCGCTTCCCGACGATTATCCTTTGTGGATGGGTCTTGAGGCTCGGGCGATCCGGAAAGCTAAGTTGGGCACCCAGCTCGAGGTTCTCCCCACCCCTTTGGCCGGTCCAATCAACTTGGTCGAGCCGAGTGGAGCGGACGACGAGGAAGAGGAGGAAGAGGCCGATGAAGAGAGGGAGGTCGAGGAGCCGAGAGCAGGGCCAACGGTCGAGGAGACGGATGGCGGGACTGAGCCTTTAAGTGACGAGGAGCATGCGAGGACTGAGCCTGTGGCTGATGGAGGCGGGGATGCCGAACTTGGTGAGAAATCAACTGCTGATTTTCAGCAGAACTAGATGTTCGCTTGTCTTGAAGTTTGTTATTTTTCTATCGCCACACTCGATCTATTTTCCCAGATTGTAAAGATCGAGGTGGTATTCAGATGTATTTGAACTTCTTTTAATATAATGCTATCTTTTCTCATCATTTGTCTGTATTTTTTCGATTCTTCGTGGTTGGCTGTGCTCGTGGTTTTCCTTTCAAGTGTGTCATTGTGAGTTTTTGAATGTTTCACACAAGTTTTTTACCACGTCGTACTATATCTCCTCTCCACCCCTTTTGCGAGCTGGTTGAAGT